AAGTTATTAGCAAGTAGCCCAGCTAATTAGGACAGCTATGTTAATGTTAGAAAAGTGATAGTCAATATATACAATATAATAATTGGGATTCATGTTGATAAATATCTGTGGTCAGGAGGTTCAGTGGGAACATTCTCCATGTAAAAACCCTTTCCATTATTTGGTGACTGGTACCCTATTTTTGCTATCTTGGTTATGAAGTGATATTTTCCACCGTCTTGTCCACCTTTAGATGACCTGCATTAAAACAACACGGGGCACAGTGTCAAAGAAGAGCTTTTTGTAGTCCATTTTCGGAAGATTGTAGTTTCATCATGGCAGGCCACGTCAGTAACATCCACCATCACATGATTATGCCGGTGGAAATCTGATGAGGATGGAAATGTCCGTCAATTGGCTTTAAAAACTAATAGGCCTAAAGTTGTTGCGATTAGTGACGGAGATTCTATGGCTAAGATCACACTTTTTGAGTCAAAGGCCTCAAAGGTAAATGTGGGCCAAGCCTATGTGATGAGAGGGTATTCCCTCAGGGGCCAGTCCCCTCCTTATGAAATACCTACAACAAAAGATAAAATGTTCTCCTTCGAAAGGGGAAGAGAACTACGTCTGACCCATTTGTCAACATACAGGATTTAATTGCCAATTTTAACATGCGAAATACACACAAAAATATCTAATAGGTAATAGGCCTATGCAAATATCTCAGAGTCTCATCTCAAACCCCAGACATAGCTTTGAGTCTACCAGATGATGAATGTAAAACATGGATATGTCAACTCATGTGTGGCTTTAAAGATACTGGGGACCTTTCTGTTTGAACTCATTTTAATTTCTTCCTTACAGGAGGCAAACACAACCAGCATCGTTGCGGCCTCTGGAGCCAACGAAAATGGGGGGAGGCCACCAATGTTGAAATTGTTGGTTGAGGGAGACGCCACATATGAGACTGAGGAGGCTGTTTGGCTTCCTCTACAGAAGAAATTATAAAAGTTTCCATTCCATTTAAAATCAAACTGTCAGGGGAAAAGTTTGTTGAAGCTGAGGCCTTTGAGGGAGAGGAGGCAGAGCAACGAGTCCATGCCTCTCTATGTCTGTCTCTCTCTCTGACCATTAGGCCTAAATGAAACTAAATGTTTGTTACAATCAGTTTAACACATTTTTTTCTAGAAAATGTTATAATTCAAGAATTTTTTATGTTTTAGTGATTTGAGTTGTTATTAAGATGTTTAAAATAAATTTGCCAATAGGCTCCTAGTTTTTCAATTTATTGATCATTTCTTGGACAAAAATACATACATTTACACACTTGATACATTCTGTATTTGCTGTAGTTTCTGTGATGTTTGACACTTACTATATTGGTATTGTATGCAAGCAAAAGTGGGCTACTTCTGTCAAAATGTTAAAAGCAGTTAAAAAGCAGGGTAAATTCAGACTTATTGGTACATTAGGACCTGCGACCCTGTACGCAGGATAAGCGGTTGACGATGGATGGATGGTACATTAGGTAAATTGGGTCAGCATAAGAAAACAGCATTGTATTTCTGCCCTGCAGCCGTTCCTTCCTCCACCAAGGACCAGCTCACCGCAGCCTGGCCGATGGGTCTCCCAAGTGGTATTCTGGGCAAGCGAGCGGGAAGGGGGATGCGTAGGGTGCTGCAGCACCCCTTATTGACAAGGAGGAACACAGTGTGCAAATGACAACGTGCAGACTAACAAATGGGCTCTATTGTTACTAAAGGACAACATAAATTACAGCAGGCTGAATTCAGAGGATGCTCGGGTTCATATTACAGCCTAATAATTTATCGTCAGCAGCTGTTAGCAATATTTTGTCAAGATTATAGGAGCTACAAATCATTGACAGGCCCCACACCCAACTATTTTCTCAGATGATTTCTTTATTGTGTTGATGTGTGAGTGTTTAAGTTAACGGTTTACTTTAAAGATTATAGAGACTGCTGTCAGTCATTTTAAAAGTTTCCATGGGCGCAGTATAGGTTAATGTCACAGCAAATATCCTGGGACATTTATGCAACAAAACTACAAACTGTAGTTATAAACTTGACAGGACAGCCTCATGTGACTGAATAGAAATGACGCTAAATTATGTAAAAACATTTTCTGACTCTCTCTGACATGTCATTGTCTCCATAAGACATTTATGCAGCAAAACTAAAAACTGTAGCAGTAAACGTGACAGGACAGAGAGGCTGGACTGAGCTGCTTCTTATCTGATGTACAGTATGCATTGCTGCTGATGAGACAGTTGTGTATTGCAGTGTTTGGAACCAGGTCAGGCAGATATGGTTTCTTTGATCCACACAATAACAGCCAAAGGTTTGCCCCTACCCCTGGATTCACGCACTCCTGGTACTGCTGTCATGCTGACATTCACACATCTCAGTGATATGATTGACAGGCTCATAAAGTGTCACAAAACGTTGGGCACACTGTCGTCCTATAACTATGAGATGAAGCCTTTACTCTGCGGAATACAACCAACCTGAATGATGCTATGCCAGAGAGAGACACAAAGCGTCAGCCTACAACTCACACTGCTGTTGTGTCAGCCGCTCTGCTGGATGATGCTCCTCAAAATGAATCAAGCCTGAGTGCTCCTAAGATAAACACTGTTGTCTCTGATTACTCTGATAACATTTTACACAAACGATGCACTGATATGGAAACTGAACCAGAACCATAGAGACTGAATTCTGTCACATCACATGATGCTCCTCAAAGTGAACATAACAGCTCCAATGGCAAGCGATGCCAATCTTGTCTGTTATTACAAACTACAGGGAGTGTCCACTAACATCACTTCTGTATCGTCTGTGAGACAACAAGAGGTTGATTTCATATTCCTTAATACCCAAACTGAATTAGAACTACCAAGTAAATGCAGTTTGAAATCTTCCGCATCAGACAAGTCAAGCTTATCTGCTCCATTAGTAAATACTGTTGCCTGTGATAATGTCTTACAAGACTTGAACTGAATGTAAACTGACAAAGCGAGGGGAAAAATCCAAGAGGAGACTACTGGTATCTGAAAAGGCATCACAGATAAAGGAGAATCTAAAAAGAAAAGAAAGGAGAAAGTATGTTTCTGATGAGGAAACTCAGACAAAGAAAACGAGAGTCAGTTACCAACCACTATCAAAACAACCCTGAATTCAGAAGGAGGCAAATGGAATATATTAAAAAATGCTGCAAGGAAAATGCGGAATTCAGACAGAGGCAGCAATCTTTTATCACTCGGTGTTTAAATGAATAGTGCAAGGTCCCCAATGAGAGAAGGAGAGAATGGATTTGTACAACATGTCACAGCCATCTTAAAAATTGATTAATGCCAAGCCTCACTGTAACTAACAACTTGGAGCTTGTTGACATTTTACACCTGTGCTGTCTGATCTCAACATGCTGGAGAGACATTGCATCGCCAAGTACATAACATTTGCCAAAATCACGTGTACAGTAATTGGGTACATCTAATGACGCTATCTGATCTCACGGTGATGCTGTTTGAGATAACTAGGAAAATGCAAAGTCCACATTCTTCCATCACTTTGATCTCTTAAGTCATCTGCATCTCTTCTTCTCCACAGAAAATATCAAATGTTGCATTTTTCACAACTTGTTTGGATCCCGATCATTGCCGCTTGCAGCTATATTTATTTATTTATTTTGCCCATAACACAACAGGAGAGTTAAAATAAACCAAATGCTGTCGGACACTTTCAGAAACTTTGAATATGAAAATCCATTCAAAGTTTGGATCACATCCCTTTTGTACCATCTCTCGTTAGGTTTTATTGGATGGACATTTTCACTGGGTGCTACCAACAATTATAATGCGCAGTATTATAGGTGAAGATCTTTGAAATCTATTTCATATATCTATCAATTATACCTGTACAAACAGGAGATATTACACAGACCAGCTTGTTTCAATGCTTCTTGAGACTTTTAATTTTGCATAAGACAAGAAAAAACAGTTCACTCTACAGTATAAAGTTGTGTTAAAAGCTTTCTTTTCATTACACATTCAGTCTGCTCGTATTAAAGAGACAGAGACAATCCAGCTGCTCACTTGTCGCTTCGTTCCTTAAGTAGCGTTACAGCGATAGAGAAGAAATAAAGATGTAAAATGAGATATAGAGCCTTCAGGTAAAATATGAGACTGGTGGCGTAAAGAGAGACGAGTTTCCTCACAGCCACAAAATCAGTGTTTGTGCTTTTGACAGGTTCCTCATGCTTTTATCATTCCTCTCTGACACAGATAGATGGGTACTGAACATCACAAGCAGCATCATCCCAGCATTTCGCATCTATAAGAACCAAAAACACAGCAGTCAGACTGAAAATGAAGCATCATTATGTAAACAGACCATTCATCCTGTGATATTATCAGTTTGAACATCACCACTCACACTTACTTACTGCTGTCTTGTATTTGTAATTTGTAATTCACCAGCCTTTTCTTTAATATTCATTCTGTACCATTTACACCAATTATACACTGAGCTCACATTGAAAATAATGTTGTATTATTTACCTCTAAAATTAAAAACGACACAGTTCTGACGACCACCAGCGTTGTCAGGCTGTCCAGGACACCACTGACCAAAGTGGAAAGGCGTACCATCACTCCAGAACCAATGTCCCTCCTTGAATACACAAGAGAATATTGAACATTTAAAAGACAATAATTATTTAATACAATAACTTTTGCACATTATGTAAATGACAAATAATATACCTGTTGTGCATCAGACCCTCCAAGCCAAGCTACTATTTGATTTTGAGTGTTGCTCAATGTCATCACCGCCTGAATCACACCGGACTCCTTGGAGTTTTGAACAGATGCGAGGTTTCCACCCAAAGAGTGACAGTTTCTCTACAGCGGAAAAATAAGTGTAGAAAGTAGTGAACAGAATAAATGTAGTGTAGAAGGTTCACTGAATAAAGATAATCCTGATTACCTCAGCCAAAGCCCAAATCATGGGTTGTTGAACGAAGAGATAACATCGACCATTGAAAGGAGTCCAATCATTAGGACATACTGTGGCCCTCTTGACAACATGACTCTCTTCTGTCAAACAAAAGAGTGAACAGTGAGTCTACATTAGTGGTAGATGCAGTATTTCTGTTTGTTTCCAGGAGAACATCATGACAAAGTAGCTTAATTCTGGAAAAGTAACGAGTTGGTCCAGTTTCCAGCCTCTGTGTCTAGAAGAGTTGCACAGTTTGACATAGCAGTTACTGATTTAAAATGTCTGCTGTTGTCATTGTGTATTTATGAATAAGTTCAATTATTTCTACATATATGCAGCACTACTCATGTCTCATATGTGATTACAAGAGAGCACCATCACAAATATGCACTCACCTTGGACAGCAGATCCCTCTGTCCCAGGTCCATCCTCTGCGTCTGGAAGAGCTGGAAGGACATTTTGACCCACTAGTGAGTTCATGTCTTCATCTACCCTTGTTGCTGTGTATAGACACATGAACATAAGCTGTCTCTCGTTCACACTCACATATGGAGTAATACTCACCAGCAGCTCTGGTCAGAGCCATCATGGCACAAAGAAGTGCAGACAGAGTCAGCGTCTTCATGGTGGAGATGATGCAGATGTTGAAGATGATGATTACCTTTAATAAAGACAGACAGGGACATGTTAGTAATACTTCTCTAGGGAAGAGACCACCTGTAGTGGCAGTCAGGTCAATATATAATGACAGTTTGTGAGCAAACCTGCTGCAGAACGATCTTCTCTTCTTCCTTCTCAGCGTCTGTAGCTTCAGTCGTCCTGAACCAGAGAAACACCAGCTCTTATATACAGTTGATGACACATCTTACCAGGAACTGATGATGAAGTCACTTATCTTTCAATCTCTCACAAAACCAGGAACTAAAGACACGCACACTGACAAAACACACAACCACAATACACATTTACAGGCACCATGTCCAGCCTAAAGTTTTGTTTGCATAATGTTTGTAACCACATTCACTCTTTGGCGTACTGAGACTTTTTCTTGTCTACCAGCACTTCTCACAAGCTGCCAGAACTTTTGTCTGCCCTCTCCACCGGTGGAGGCAGAGTATTGGCAAGATTGGGTGTTTTATCCAAGCGTGTGCATAAAGTTGCTCATCAGTGTCACTTTTTGTGAATCGACCAATCACAGCCTGGATGGGGCAAGACATTAAAAAAGGTTGACGTGCTGCTACAGCAAACTTTCAAAATGTTGAACATGTTCTGTATAAATTGTCATGATAACTGACAAGTTAGCATTTAACATCAACAAATTAGAGACTAACCACCCTGTAGACCATTTTTCTTTCACAAGGATTTAATGAATGAGAACAACATACCATAATGAAACTGCTGTAACTGAAATTGTTATACTTGTGGTAAGCAACATAGGACACTATTATATGGAATTATAATAAATGCACTAAAATCGGTCCTACTGAATTGTTAACGAGACAGAAAATGGTTTTATTTGTGAATCAGCTGAATTGTTGAATCTCAACTAATAAGCTGTTGAAATGTTACAAATAGGCCTACTATAAACAATCTGTAGGCAGACATTAGCCAAATAAAGTGTCACCTATAAATATACACTCACCGGCCACTTTATTAGTTAAACCTGTTCAATTACGTGTTAACACAAATAGCTAGTCAGCCAATCACATGGCAGCAGCTCAATCAATTTAGGCATGTAGATGTTTTCAGGACAACTTGCTGAAGTTCAAACCGAGCATCAGAATGGAGAAGTAAGGGGATTTAAGTGACTTTGAACGTGGAATGGTTGTTAGTGCCAGACGAGCTGGTCTGAGTATTTCAGAAACTGCTGATCTACTGGGATTTTCAGGCACAACCGTCTCTAAGGTTTACAGAGAATGGTCCGAAAAAGAGAAAATATCCAGTGAGCTGCAGCAGTGTGGACGAAAATGCCTTGTTGAGGTCAGAGGAGAATGGGCAGACTGGTTCCAGATGACAGAAAGGCAACGGTAACTCAAATAAGCACTCGTTACAACCAAGATATGCAGAATACCATCTTTGAACGCACAACACGTCGAACCTTCAAGCAGATGGGCTACAGCAACAGAAGATCACACTGGATGCCACGCCTGTCAGCTAAGAACAGGTCGCCTGCCTTTACATGCACATGAAGGTTAGGGGGCTTTTACACCTACCTCGTTTGGTCCGGACTTTCGTACTTTTCAGTTTGATCTGAACCAAAATTGCAGCCGTGAAACCTCCCCTGGACCACAGTCCGAACCAAACATACGAAACTTGGTCAGATGAAAAGAGGTAGTCTCGGTCCGGATCAAACTGAACCATAGTTCAGTTAATTTTTGATGTGAAAGCATTTTTTGGATGGTTCGGACTTTCAGACCATTTACAGTAAGTTTCGAAAGATTACCGTGTGAACCGGAAACAAACAAATGCACAGAGAAATGCATTGAAATGAGGACACAATTATAAATTTATTTGGCGAATTTGAACAAGCCTTGAGTCGGCTATAGGCTAATTGGTCCTGCAGGTACTAATGCCATGATAACAATACAGTGGCAACGATATTAAATGTTCATCCCTCATTCATTTATGTCAAGTATAGGGAGACGCAGCCCATATGGATGACGACAGGTAAAGTCCTTTAGTGCGATCACATAAATGCAGTGTGAAACCAAACCAAAACTAACTGAATATATCAAAAGGTATCAAAACATGAACTTTAGTTAGGACCTTGGTGCGGACTTTCAGGTGTGAAAGTCCCCTAAATGACATCCCATTCTTAATCTCTATGGTTTAAAATTGAGTTGGCCCTTTGCAGCTATAACAGCTTCAACTGTGTTCATGGGAATTTGTGACGATTCTTCTAGAAGCACAGATGTTTGACAAGAAGGCCTGTTCCTTCCTTTCACTGGAACTAAGGGGCCAAGCCCAACCCCTGAAAGACAACCCCACACCATAATCCCCCCTCTCCACCAAACTTTACACTTGGCACAATGCAGTCAGGCAAGTACCGTTCTCCTGGCAACCGCCAAACCCAGACTCATCCATCAGATTGCCAGACAGAGAAGTGTGATTCGTCACTCCAGAGAACTTTTCTCCACTTCTCTATTATCCTGTGGCGTCATGCTTTACACCACTGCATCTGGCACTTTGCATTGCACTTGGTGATGTTAGGCTTGGATGCAGCTGCCATGGAAACCCATTCCATGAAGCTCGCTATGCACTGTTCTTGAGCTAATCCGAGGGTCACACTACGTGTAGAGGTCTGTAGCTATTGACTGGCTGTTTCTCTTGTTCCCAATCACTTGCACTTTCTTATAATACCACCAACAGTTGGCAGTGGAATATTTAGTAGTGAGGAAATTTCACGAATGGACTTATTGCACAGGTGGCAACCTGTCACGGTACCACGCTTGAATTCACCGAGCTCCTGAGAGCGACCCATTCTTTCACAAATGTTTGTAGAAGCAGTCTGCATACCTAGGTGCTTAATTTTATACACCTGTGGCCGAGGAAGTTATTGGAACACCTGAATTCAATGATTCGGAGGGGTGTCCTAAAACTTAGTGTTAACTATAACAATATAGAGTATTTCTATTTGGCCTTAAATAACAACAAATATGCAGGAGGAAACCTAAAGTTGCCGCTGCACAGTCTGTCCTTTGTCTGTCAATGTGCTCGTGCATACAAGACGCAAACGGCAGAACAATGACATAAACTTTGATCTTCTCAGATACACATATCTCGTTGTCTTCATCTAGTCTTAGTTTAGCGCATTTTAGTTAGTTTCATCTTGTGTGTTTTGCTTTGTTGATCTTGTTAAATAAATGCTTGTGTACACATTTACATTCATTCATATAGCTGATTGAATTGCCAGATATGTCAGAGGTCACACGCCTCTGGAGCAACTAGGGGTTAAGTGTCTTGCTCTGGGACACATTGGTGGATGTGTCACAGTGGGGTGTTGAACACAGGTCTCGCACACCAAAGGCATGTGTCTTATCCACTCTACCATCACCACCCCATATATGCTGGTTTTCTTTTATTGCATCAGGGTGAATATATTGCCAACCTCTTCCACATAAAACTCCAAATCCTTCAACACACTATCTATAAATGATAATATTATTATAGTTGTTAATTTAATTACTGACCACAATTCCAAATTAATAGTTTAGTATTTTAATGAGACTGAATTAAGAAATCGCCTGTACATTTTCTCTTGCTTAAGAGTGGTGTCCCAAAGAGAATTTAGCTTCAAGTTATATTCTATTATTAATAATTGAATAATAAAAGTAATCATTATTTCCATTTTAAACTCTGATCCAAAACAACTGTCTCATGTGAGTATTTATTTAAGTGATACATAAAAGGCTCAGAAACAGCACAAATTGATCTGTAAAATCAGTAATTTATAATTCAATTTTAATTCAACATTTTATCTTTTTCACTCGTCTCCAGTTCAAATGTAATTCACTCTTCTGTATAATTCAAATATCAGCCTTTAGTGTCTGTTCAGATAATGAAACTCTGTGTGACACCTGTGTTTTTTTCTGTTTTGCTGGGATAATTTATTGTTAGAAGACACACCGTCTGTCTGCCACCATCCTGTTTTAGCTCTGACACGGATATGTTGAACTGACCAAACACAAACATCTGATGAGTATGTTTGATAGTTTGCATGTTTGCACACTCACCTGTCGTTGTGTCATCAGTCTCATGTGCAGTGGTGGCTGGTGAAAAACATTTATATATTAAGTCAGTTTCAAGAAACCCATGTCCAAAGTACATGTGGTGAACCACTTAAAGTCCTGACCCCTCTGGACATATGCTAAAGCATCACAAACATTTACCTTCCATTGACCCCATACCCAAGAGGCTGGAGGCCCCTAGTGAGATTAGTTACATGGCAGTGTTTTAAAGATGGTTCTCATGAAATTCCCATTACATTACTCCCTTTTAGCATATTATGCTAACACAGCATAATGAGGATATAAACATTTCATGTAACTTCGGCAGCACTTGAAGAGAAGGTGATTATGTAAAAATATAAGAATATGAGAATAAAAATACAATGTAAGAAATATAAAAATGTGAGAATAGAATATAAGACACAATGCAAACAATTGTAATTGTGCAAAATGTGAAATTTCATTACATTTGCAAAGACTAATGATTCAAAAATCCAGAAGATAACTAAGAAACTTAGAAATGATTCAGATTAAACTTCACTTTCATCCCCTCTGAAAGGTGGGATCCACTCCAATGAATCTGTGGGTGCAGTTGGTAGTTGTATGTACTGACCCATAGATGATTTAATTGCATTAGTCCAGAGCTGTAACTTAACTTCACTGTCTTGTTTTAATATGATGTATGAGGAGTGCCATCACATCCTGTCTGGACTGGTCCCACAGATGTTCCTTGCTGAAATGCATGAGCTTAATTACGTGCACACGCATGTGAACACATTCTCACAACGTGGTTATATTTTCCGAGCTTTACAAACACCGTGGCCCGTCAGTGTTAACAAATATAGTTGTGTTTCACTCAGTAATGTTCATGTTCACAGTCTGACAAGTAACCAAGACACAGACAGACAAGAGCTGCGCTGCTGAGCCGGTTAGCAGGACAGACAGACAGAGAGATACTCAGCTGCACATTAACATGTTTTCCTGACGTTCACGCAGTTCACTCTGATAGAGTTTTTTCTTTACTCGTTCCCAGAAGGATAGTCCCTCTTCATCGTCTCATCATAGTTGTAACTCGCGTTCACCTTTGACATGAGAGTGAGACGGGGCCGCCCAGCTCCGCGCAAGAGTGACCTGATTTCTGTCACTGCGTAGGCCTATGCCGTT